TAGTAGGTAAAAGTTAGACTTGTAGGTAAAGTAAACTAAAGACTAGTAAAGTAAAGTCAGATTAAAATTAATTCATAGGGATTGCCTATCCCCTTTAGATAGTGTTCTTCTGTTGCATAATGTAGTCCCAATCCTAGACAAAATACTGATTCGGCGAATTCGTGGACAATATTCGATTCGAGTCGAATAAATTCGCTGTGAATTTAACTTAAAAAAGGGTGTTTCTAGGCTTCAGAGAGACTTAATATTAGTGCAGAACACTGTACCTTTAATTTAAATGCCCTTGGAGTCTGCTGGGGAAGAGAAATAATACTGTCACTCAGTATGACATGCAGATGAGTGCCGTCGATCTTAGAATCACCGCACACTTCACTCATTTGGCCAGTCACGGGGCCAAAACCAGTGTTTGGAGCCACAGTGTGGCGGTGGAGGCAGCAGCAATGGGAGGCCATACAGCAACCTATGACAAAATGGAAACCAGCAGGAGTGTGAGGAGACCTGAAAGTGGCACATGCAGTGGGAGCAATGGGAGGCGGTACAAGGACCCATGTCACACTGTGGACCCAGCAGCAGCGTGACCAGGCGGTACGGGGGCCCATGGCAGATTACAGGCCTGGCAGCAGCAATGGGAGGCCCGTAATCTGCCAGCACCCTATGACAAAAAATGGAACACACCAGCAGTGTGTGAGGAGACCTGAAAGTGGCACATGGCAGAGTGTGGCGATGGAGACAGCAGCAATGGGAGGCCGTACAGGGACCCATGAGAGACTGTGGACCTGGCAGCAGCATGAGGAGGCGGTATAGGGGCCCATGGCAGATTAGGGGCCTGGCAGCAGCTATAGGAGGCCCGTAATCTGCCAGCACCCTATGACAAAAAATTGAACACACCAGCAGTGTGTGAGGAGACCTGAAAGTGGCACATGGCATGAGACACTCTGGACCTGGCAGCAGCATGAGGAGGCGGTATATAGGGGCCCATGGCAGATTAGGGGCCTGGCAGCAGCTATGGGAGGCCCGTAATCTGCCAGCACCCTATGTCAAAAAATTGAAAACACAAGCAGTGTGTGAGGAGACCTGAAAGTGGCACATGTTTGGGGCATGATTCATGGCGGATTTAGTCAGTTGTGTCAGGAACTAGTGGTTTGAAATCCAGACTAATCCACGCCTGATTCATTTTCACAAACGTGAGTCTCTCCACACTTTGGGTGGACAGTCGTGTCCTCCGCGGAGTTGCAATACCTCCTGCCGCACTAAAAACACGCGCTCCGATGCCACGCTACTGGCCGGGCATGACAGCCTTTCAAGGGCAAATTCAGCTAGTTGGGGTCAAAGGTCAAGTTTCGTTGCCCAGTAGTCAAGGGGATTGTCTACCTCGGTTGGCAGGGTGCTGTCCAAGTAGGCCTAAGCCTGTTGTTTGAGGTCCTGCTCCAGGTCCACCTGATGCTGCTGCTGCTGCTGCTGCTGGTTAGTAGTTTCCTCACTGCGCTGGTGAAGAAAGCTACTCATCATCGACTGCAGACTGAGGCAGCCGCTGCTGGTGGAGCTGCCACTGCTCCTACCACCCCACCCCTCCCCTGCTGCCATGGCAGCGGAACGCGAGCGCACAGGGCCCACAGTGTCTGAGGATGGACGTTGGCGCAGAAAGGCAGAGACCAGCTGACTACATAGGTGGTTTTTATAGTACGTTATTTTGGCCTCCCTCTCAGCAGGTGTGAAAAAGGCCACCATTTTTGAACGGTAGCGAGGGTCCAACAAGGTGGACAGCCAAAAGTCATCCCTCTGTCTGATGGTTATTATTCGGCTGTCGCTACGCAAGCAAGCGAGCATGCTATGGGCCATTTGTGCCAAGGAATGCGAGGGACTCCCTACCTCCATCTCCACAGCATACTGCCACGGGTGCGTCGTCTGGGTCCTCTGTCTCCTCCTCCTCCTCCTCTACCAGATGCTCCTGCTCCTCCACTCCTGTCCGCTGAGTGGAAAAACCACCCATTTCACTCAATAATTCCTGAGCACCAATGTCCTCCTCTACCTCCTCCTCTTCTTCCTGTCCTGCCCCCACAGGGGTCATGTGGCGTTGAGATCTGTGCGCCACGTCTACCGCACCCTGACCAGCCATTGTTAACAGCATTTGTTCCAGGACGTGCAACAGAGGAATGACGTCGTTCATCCCATAGTCCTGCCGACTCACGAATAGCGTGGCCTCCTCAAAGGGCCTGAGCAAGCGCAGGTGTCACGCATGAGCTGCCAATGGCTGACATCTAAGTTACACAGGGAGTACCTTTATCCGCTTTTAACATCAGGAAATCTGTGATGGCCTTTTTCGCTGTTCGTAAAGGCGGTCTAACATATGTAGGGTTGAATTCCACCTTGTTGCAACGTCACAGCATGAGGAGTCGGTACGGGGGCCCATGGCAGATTACGTGCCTGGCAGCAGCAATGGGAGGCCCGTAATCTGCCAGCACCCTATGTCAAAAAATTCAACACACCAGCAGTGTGAGGAGACCTGAAAGTGGCACATGGCAGAGTGTGGCGATGGAGACAGCAGCAATGGGAGGCCGTACAGGGACCCATGAGAGACTCTGGACCTGGCAGCAGCATGAGGAGGCGGTATATAGGGGCCTATGGCAGATTAGGGGCCTGGCAGCAGCTATGGGAGGGCCCGTAATCTGCCAGCACCCTATGTCAAAAAATTCTACACACCAGCAGTGTGTGAGGAGACCTGAAAGTGGCACATGGCAGAGTGTGGCGATGGAGACAGCAGCAATGGGAGGCCGTACAGGGACCCATGAGAGACTCTCTGGACCTGGCAGCAGCATGAGGAGGCGGTATATATAGGGGCCTATGGCAGATTAGGGGCCTGGCAGCAGCTATGGGAGGCCCGTAATCCTGCCAGCACCCTGTCAAAAAATTCTACACACCAGCAGTGTGTGAGGAGACCTGAAAGTGGCACATGGCAGAGTGTGGCGATGGAGACAGCAGCAATGGGAGGCCGTACAGGGACCCATGAGAGACTCTGGACCTGGCAGCAGCATGAGGAGGCGGTATATAGGGGCCCATGGCAGATTAGGGGCCTGGCAGCAGCTATGGGAGGCCCGTAATCTGCCAGCACCCTATGTCAAAAAATTCTACACACACCAGCAGTGTGTGAGGAGACCTGAAAGTGGCACATGGCAGAGTGTGGCGATGGAGACAGCAGCAATGGGAGGCCGTACAGGGGGACCCATGAGAGACTCTGGACCTGGCAGCAGCATGAGGAGGCGGTATATAGGGGCCCATATGGCAGATTAGGGGCCTGGCAGCAGCTATGGGAGGCCCGTAATCTGCCAGCACCCTATGTCAAAAAATTCTACACACCAGCAGTGTGTGAGGAGACCTGAAAGTGGCAGCATGGCAGAGTGTGGCATGGCAGAGTGTGGCGATGGAGACAGCAGCAATGGGAGGCCGTACAGGGACCCATGAGAGACTCTGGACTCTGGACCTGGCAGCAGCATGAGGAGGCGGTATATAGGGGCCTATGGCAGATTAGGGGCCTGGCAGCAGCTATGGGAGGCCCGTAATCTGCCAGCACCCTATGTCAAAAAATTCTACACACCAGCAGTGTGTGAGGAGACCTGAAAGTGGCACATGGCAGAGTGTGGCGATGGAGACAGCAGCAATGGGAGGCCGTACAGGGACCCATGAGAGACTCTGGACCTGGCAGCAGCATGAGGAGGCGGTATATAGGGGCCTATGGCAGATTAGGGGCCTGGCAGCAGCTATGGGAGGCCCGTAATCTGCCAGCACCCTATGTCAAAAAATTCTACACACACAGCAGTGTGTGAGGAGACCTGAAAGTGGCACATGGCAGAGTGTGTGGCGATGGAGACAGCAGCAATGGGAGGCCGTACAGGGACCCATGAGAGACTCTGGACCTGGCAGCAGCATGAGGAGGCGGTATATAGGGGCCCATGGCAGATTAGGGGCCTGGCAGCAGCTATGGGAGGCCCGTAATCTGCCAGCACCCTATGTCAAAAAATTCTACACACCAGCAGTGTGTGAGGAGACCTGAAAGTGGCACATGGCAGAGTGTGGCGATGGAGACAGCAGCAATGGGAGGCCGCCGTACAGGGACCCATGAGAGACTCTGGACCTGGCAGCAGCATGAGGAGGCGGTATATATAGGGGCCCATGGCAGATTAGGGGCCTGGCAGCAGCTATGGGAGGCCCGTAATCTGCCAGCACCCTATGTCAAAAAATTCTACACACCAGCAGTGTGTGTGAGGAGACCTGAAAGTGGCACATGGCAGAGTGTGTGGCGATGGAGACAGCAGCAATGGGAGGCCGTACAGGGACCCATGAGAGACTCTGGACCTGGCAGCAGCATGAGGAGGCGGTATATAGGGGCCCATGGCAGATTAGGGGCCTGGCAGCAGCTATGGGAGGCCCGTAATCTGCCAGCACCCTATGTCAAAAAATTCACACACAGCAGTGTGTGAGGAGACCTGAAAGTGGCACATGGCAGAGTGTGGCGATGGAGACAGCAGCAATGGGAGGCCGTACAGGGACCCATGAGAGACTCTGGACCTGGCAGCAGCATGAGGAGGCGGTATATAGGGGCCCATGGCAGATTAGGGGCCTGGCAGCAGCTATGGGGAGGCCCGTAATCTGCCAGCACCCTATGTCAAAAAATTCTACACACAGCAGCAGTGTGTGAGGAGACCTGAAAGTGGCACATGGCAGAGTGTGGCGATGGAGACAGCAGCAATGGGAGGCCGTACAGGGACCCATGAGAGACTCTGGACCTGGCAGCAGCATGAGGAGGCGGTATATAGGGGCCATGGCAGATTTAGGGGCCTGGCAGCAGCTATGGGAGGCCCGTAATCTGCCAGCACCCTATGTCAAAAAATTCTACACACCAGCAGTGTGTGAGGAGACCTGAAAGTGGCACATGGCAGAGTGTGGCGATGGAGACAGCAGCAATGGGAGGCCGTACAGGGACCCATGAGAGACTCTGGACCTGGCAGCAGCATGAGGAGGCGGTATATAGGGGCCTATGGCAGATTAGGGGCCTGGCAGCAGCTATGGGAGGCCCGTAATCTGCCAGCACCCTATGTCAAAAAATTCTACACACCAGCAGTGTGTGAGGAGACCTGAAAGTGGCACATGGCAGAGTGTGGCGATGGAGACAGCAGCAATGGGAGGCCGTACAGGGACCCATGAGAGACTCTGGACCTGGCAGGCAGCAGCATGAGGAGGCGGTATAGGGGGCCTATGGCAGATTAGGGGCCTGGCAGCAGCTATGGGAGGCCCGTAATCTGCCAGCACCCTATGTCAAAAAAAATTCTACACACCAGCAGTGTGTGAGGAGACCTGAAAGTGGCACATGGCAGAGTGTGGCGATGGAGACAGCAGCAATGGGAGGCCGTACAGGGACCCATGAGAGACTCTGGACCTGGCAGCAGCATGAGGAGGCGGTATATAGGGGCCTATGGCAGATTAGGGGCCTGGCAGCAGCTATGGGAGGCCCCCGTAATCTGCCAGCACCCTATGTCAAAAAATTCTACACACCAGCAGTGTGTGAGGACCTGAAAGTGGCACATGGCAGAGAGTGTGGCGATGGAGACAGCAGCAATGGGAGGCCGTACAGGGACCCATGAGAGACTCTGGACCTGGCAGCAGCATGAGGAGGCGGTATATAGGGGGGCCTATGGCAGATTAGGGGCCTGGCAGCAGCTATAGGAGGAGGCCCGTAATCTGCCAGCACCCTATGTCAAAAAATTCTACACACCAGCAGTGTGTGAGGAGACCTGAAAGTGGCACATGGCAGAGTGTGTGGGATGGAGACAGCAGCAATGGGAGGCCGTACAGGGACCCATGAGAGACTCTGGACCTGGCAGCAGCATGAGGAGGCGGTATATAGGGGCCTATGGCAGATTAGGGGCCTGGCAGCAGCTATGGGAGGGCCCGTAATCTGCCAGCACCCTATGTCAAAAAATTCTACACACCAGCAGTGTGTGAGGAGACCTGAAAGTGGCACATGGCAGAGTGTGGCGATGGAGACAGCAGCAATGGGAGGCCGTACAGGGGACCCATGAGAGACTCTGGACCTGGCAGCAGCATGAGGAGGCGGTATATAGGGGCCTATGGCAGATTAGGGGCTGGCAGCAGCTATGGGAGGCCCGTAATCTGCCAGCACCCTATGTCAAAAAATTTCTACACACCAGCAGTGTGTGAGGAGACCTGAAAGTGGCACATGGCAGAGTGTGGCGATGGAGACAGCAGCAATGGGAGGGCCGTACAGGGACCCATGAGAGAGAGACTCTGGACCTGGCAGCAGCATGAGGAGGCGGTATATAGGGGCCTATGGCAGATTAGGGGCCTGGCAGCAGCTATGGGAGGCCCGTAATCTGCCAGCACCCCCTATGTCAAAAAATTCTACACACCAGCAGTGTGTGAGGAGACCTGAAAGTGGCACATGGCAGAGTGTGGCGATGGAGACAGCAGCAATGGGAGGCCGTACAGGGACCCATGAGAGACTCTGGACCTGGCAGCAGCATGAGGAGGCGGTATATAGGGGCCCATGGCAGATTAGGGGCCTGGCAGCAGCTATGGGAGGCCCGTAATCTGCCAGCACCCTATGTCAAAAAATTCTACACACCAGCAGTGTGTGTGAGGAGACCTGAAAGTGGCACATGGCAGAGTGTGGCGATGGAGACAGCAGCAATGGGAGGCCGTACAGGGACCCATGAGAGACTCTGGACCTGGCAGCAGCATGAGGAGGCGGGTATATAGGGGCCCATGGCAGATTAGGGGCCTGGCAGCAGCAGCTATGGGAGGCCCGTAATCTGCCAGCACCCTATGTCAAAAAATTCACACACCAGCAGTGTGTGAGGAGACCTGAAAGTGGCACATGGCAGAGTGTGGCGATGGAGACAGCAGCAATGGGAGGCCGTACAGGGACCCATGAGAGACTCTGGACCTGGCAGCAGCATGAGGAGGCGGTATATAGGGGCCCATGGCAGATTAGGGGCCTGGCAGCAGCTATGGGAGGCCCCGTAATCTGCCAGCACCCTATGTCAAAAAATTCTACACACCAGCAGTGTGTGAGGAGACCTGAAAGTGGCACATGGCAGAGTGTGGCGATGGAGACACAGCAGCAATGGGAGGCCGTACACAGGGGACCCATGAGAGACTCTGGACCTGGCAGCAGCATGAGGAGGCGGTATATAGGGGCCTGGCAGATTAGGGGCCTGGCAGCAGCTATGGGAGGCCCGTAATCTGCCAGCACCCTATGTCAAAAAATTCAACACACCAGCAGTGTGTGAGGAGACCTGAAAGTGGCACATGTTTGAGGCATGATTCATGGCGGATTTAGTCAGTTGTGTCAGGAACTGGTGGTTTGAAATCCAGACTAATCCACGCCTGATTCATTTTCACAAACGTGTGAGTCTCTCCACACTTTGGGTGGACAGTCGTGTCCTCCGCGGAGTTACAATACCTCCTGCCGCACTAAACACGCGCTCCGATGCCACGCTACTGGCCGGGCATGAGCCTTTCAAGGGCAAATTCAGCTAGTTGGGGCCAAAGGTCAAGTTTCGTTGCCCAGTAGTCAAGGGGATTGTCTACCTCGGTTGGCAGGGTGCTGTCCAAGTAGGCCCAAGCCTGTTGTTTGAGGTCCTGCTCCAGGTCCACCTGATGCTGCTGCTGCTGCTGCTGCTGGCTGGTTAGTAGTTTCCTCACTGCGCTGGTGAAGAAAGCTACTCATCATCGACTGCAGACTGAGGCAGCCGCTGCTGGTGGAGCTGCCACTGCTCCTACCACCCCCCCCCCCCTGCTGCCATGGCAGCGGAACGCGAGCGCACAGGGCCCACAGTGTCTGAGGATGGACGTTGGCGCACAAAGGCAGAGACCAACTGACTACATAGGTGGTTTTTATAGTACGTTATTTTGGCCTCCCTCTCAGCAGGTGTGAAAAAGGCCACCATTTTTGAACGGTAGCGAGGGTCCAACAAGGTGGACAGCCAAAAGTCATCCCTCTGTCTGATGGTTATTATTCGGCTGTCGCTACGCAAGCAACCGAGCATGCTATGGGCCATTTGTGCCAAGGAATGCGAGGGACTCCCTGCCTCCATCTCCACAGCATACTGCCACGGTGCGTCTGGGTCCTCTGTCTCCTCCTCCTCCTCCTCTACCAGATGCTCCTGCTCCTCCACTCCTGTCCGCTGAGTGGAAAAACCACCCATTTCACTCAATAATTCCTGAGCACAAATGTCCTCCTCTACCTCCTCCTCTTCTTCCTGTCCTGCCCCCACAGGGGTCATGTGGCGTTGAGATCTGTGCGCCACGTCTACCGCACCCTGACCAGCCATTGTTAACAGCATTTGTTCAAGGACGTGCAACAGAGGAATGACGTCGTTCATCCCATAGTCCTGCCGACTCACGAATAGCGTGGCCTCCTCAAAGGGCCTGAGCAAGCGGCAGGTGTCACGCATGAGCTGCCAATGGCTGACATCGAAGTTACACAGGGGAGTACCTTTATCCGCTTGTAACATCAGGAAATCGGTGATGGCCTTTCGCTGCTCGTAAAGGCGGTCTAACATGTGTAGGGTTGAATTCCACCTTGTTGCAACGTCGCAGATCAGGCGATGATGTGGAATTCCGTTCTGCCGCTGCAGCTCAAGGAGGGTGTGCTTTGCGGTGTAGGAATGGCTGAAATGCATGCAAAGTTTACGTGACATTTTAAGGATGTCTTGCAGTGGGATGGTGGATTTTAGGAACCGCTTGACAACCAGATTGAACACGTGAGCCATGCATGGCGCATGGCACAACCTTCCTTGACGCAGAGCAGACACCATGTTCTTTCCGTTGTCGGTCAACATGGTTCCGATTTTCAGTTTGCGCGGAGACAGCCATCTGTCGATTTCTCTGTTCATTACACTCAGAAGTTCCTCCCCTGTGTGACTACGTTCGCCAAGGCATACCAGGTGCAGAACAGCGTGACACCGTTGCGCCCTGCACATGTGATATGCCGGTCGGGTAATGGGACTTGGCACGGGGGGGGCTGGCGGCTGAGGACACGGCGGAAGAAGAGGTGGTAGAGGCGGACATCTTTGCCGGACCAAGGACGTGCAAACGTGGAGGCAAAAGCGGCGTGACCTGTCCAAGTTGCTGGTGCGGCTGTGACGGCACCACGTTCACACCAGTGGGCCGTAAATGACATGTACTGTCCCTGACCGTAGTTACAGCTCCACACGTCGGCGCTGCCGTGCACTTTGGCAGAGACCGACATGCTCAAAGACTGGCCCACCATGTCTTCTACATGTGAATGCAGGGCTGGCACTGCCTTTTTGGCGAAGAAATGACGGCTTGGCACTCTCCACCGCGGCGCGGCACAAGCCATCATTTCTCTGAAAGGTGCTGAGTCCACCACTTGGAAAGGGAGGGACTGCTGCAGCACCAGCAACTTGGACAGGAGGACGTTCAGCTTTTGCACCGTCGGGTGCGTGCTCGCAAACTGTTGTCTCTTGGAAACGGATTCCAAGAAAGACTGCTGACGGAATCCGTGAAGAGGAGAGTAGCAGGAGAAGGAGCATCTGAAC